GTCACCTCTGACACGCATGTCATAGGTTCGCCATCACTGTTCTATTTTATCAGTTGTTATTGGCCTATATAGCTTTTTTTATTCTTCCTGATTCAGTTTTGGGAGATTGTATTTTTCTAGGAATTTGTTTATTTCATCCACATTGTCCAGCTTGTTAGCATATAGTTGAGTTGTTCATCATATTTTCTTACAATTTTTTGTATATCTGTGGTGTCTGTGGTTACTCCTCCACTTTTGTTTTTGACTTTATTTGGGTCCTCTCTCTTTGTTTCTTGATGAGTCTGGCTAATGGTTTATCAATTTTTTTTATCCTTTCAAAAAAACAGCTCTTGGTTTTATTGATTTTTTGGACTGTTTTTGTCATCTTTATGTCATTTATTTCTGCTCTAATCTTTATTATTTCCTTCCTTCAACTTACTCTGGGCTTTTCTTGTTGTTCTCTTTCTAGTTCTTTAAGTTATAGGATTAAATAGTTGATTGCTGATTTTTCTTGTTTTTGAGGTAGGCCTGTAGTGCTATGAACTTCCCTCTCAGGACGGCTTTTGCTGTGTCCCAGAGATTTTGGGTTATTGTGTGTTCATTTTCATTTGTTTCCAGGATGTTTTTTATTTCTTTCTTGATCTCATTGGTAACCCATTCATCTATATTTATAGAAGGTTAAGTGATCCAGACACCTGCGCACTCCTCCACAAAGCCCTCCCTGTACATGGCGCTGGGACAGCTGTGAGAGCCACCTGTCCCAGGATGGCTCAGGGTTCACGCCCAAGGGCTGATCGAGGGCCAGGCACTGTCCATCTATGAGGAAGGTCTGCCTTGTGGCAGACATGCCTGAAGCCCCTGCACTGCTGTCCTCCTCGATCTCCCAGCCCTGATCCTGCACCCAGAGCGTGCCTGCCCCACCCAGCAGTGACCTCTGGTCCCTGTGCTCCAGAGGAGGGACTCCATCCAGAGCCTCTCTGCCCTGCTGAGTGGGTCACCTCTGCGCTGAAGTCCACAGACCCTGCCCATCACCCCACCCCAGCCAAAGCCAGTGGAGAGAGACCCTGCTCTTTGCCCCAAACTGGAAAAGCCTCAGCCACTCCTCCTGCCTCACTCCCCCTTCCTAGGCCCGCAGCCTGAAGCCCTGAAGCCCTCCATCCTGTCAGGCTTGGTCCCTGTGTCCCCCTGTCAGCTCCCAGGGCTGTGTCTGACCCCACCCCCCAACCCCTGCCCAGTCCCCGGGCCACAGTGCAGGAAGGGCTGACCATTCAGGTGTCCCTTATCCCCAAATCTCAATGGACTGGTTCATCCGGGGACACCACTGAGAGGCCATGGCAGAGGCTGCAGGGTCCTGAGCAAAGAGGAAAGCACAGATGAAACCGCTTCCTGGAAATGACTGCTGGTCCTGTTCTGACGGGAAGGCTCGGCTGAGGGTTTCCAGGGCTGGGAAGTAGGAGAGGGGAAGGGTGGAATGGGAGATGGGACAAGATGGCCCAACATGCAGGACAGGTGCCACAGAGGGAGGCCGGGGACAGGGCCCCTAAGGGTACAGGTAGGAGGAAAGGAGAGCTTGTCAGCAGGGGCAAGGAGGTCACAGTGAAGGGGGTCTTGCCTATGGAGTCGGGGGGATGTGAAGGGTCCAGGATGGGAGGGATCGTGGCCAGTGGAGCTGTGGTGCAGAGGCAGTGGTTGGAGGCGCAGTGAGAGGCTGCTGCCTGTGGCGAGGGTCATCAGGTCAGTCCATTGAGATTTTGGGTGTGGCAGTGAGGAGAGGGGCTCCAGGGGCTGCGCTGTGGTCCTAAGGGGTTTAGGGTGGACAGGTACCCCTGGGAGGTGAGGTGTCAGCCGGGGCCCAGGGGAAGAGGTGGTTGGACCTGCCAGTGTCCCTGGGGACAGGAGGTGGCAGGAGTCTCAAGGAGTCAGTGTAGTGTGTCCAAGGGTAGTTAGGGCTAGAAAGCGGGGAGGATAGCAAGAGAAACTGAAACTTACATGCCCAAGTCAGGCAGGCAAGGTGCATGGTAGGGGAAGGCCCTACATGGTGGGAGTGGTTCAGGGTACGGGCAGGTCACCCACGCAAAGGCTTAGGGTTGGCCATGCAGCACCGGAGGCAGGGTGTGGGAGCAGGCCTGCGGCAGGGGAAAGCCAGAGCTGACCTAGTGGCATGAACAAGGATTTTGGATACTTTGTATAGGGAGAGGCCACTGGTCAAGGAGCCAATGGGTGAGTGGGGGAGGGTTAGGGTCAAAGAAGCGTTGGACCAAGAACAGTTTGCAGGTCGGCGTGTAAATGGAGAGCCAAGGTCCTAACCTGCATCTGGGACCTCCCATCGTGGCGTTGCAAGCACGGGTGTTATCTGCACGTGTGCCTTTATTTCAGGAGATGGGACTGCGCTCTTCATCAGATCAGCAGACTGCAAAGACTTCACCCCTAGACACTGAAAAGGCTCTGCATTAGGGAGGAGGGCGAGATTGGGAAAGCTTGCACTCCAAGCCTATGATCACTCCTGCACAATGGGGCACTGAGAAGTGGGGCAGGCCAGTCCACTCCCTCTGGGAGCAGACAGGAAAGGCAGAGCCACGGTGGATGGGTGTCCAATTCTATCGAAGGACAACCATTCCCAGAAAACCTGTGTCACACTTCTAAACCCACACACATGCTCAAACAAACAACACCAGAAAACCTACCCTAGCTCAGGTGAGACCACTGAAGTTGTCTGAGGTAATAAAGACAATTCTATTTAGGGCTGCAGCCCAATACCCCTCTGCCCGGGGACCCCAGGAAGGACCCTCCCTCGTCAGCACTGCACCAGGAGGTCATTTCTGGGGAGAAATGTAGAATCTCCCTGGATTCCTGAGGCTTTACACTTACTTGCTGTCTTTGCAGAGTTGAGTTCACCTTTGAACATGTTAAAACTAATCTGCTGGGAGGTGTGCCTGAAGCAGGAGACGAGGGACTGGCCTGAGCTGCCGCCCTCCTCGAGGCTCTGTTAGGCAATGATTATAAGAGATGTGGGCCCAGGAAAGTCATGGCTAGGTAAACAGTAAACTCCCCATTTCAGCAACTTTCCAGCTTGCCCAGCAATGGCCTAGCTTTACCCCAGTCTAACATTTGATAATGTAGATTTTCCTAGCTGTTGAGTTTTAAATGGTTCATGGATCTCACTTTGTGTTTGTGGCAGTAAGCCCCCTGGAATCCACTGTGGACTTAAGTACAGGTGTGGTTCTCCCTTGAATTACTGCTAACAGCATCTTAGACTGTTCCAATCCTGAATCCGGTCACTCCTCACTCCCCACCCCTTTCCCAACTCAGCATGAAGCAAAACCTCTCCATTGGACGTCACCGGTCAGAAATCCCACTCGTGGCTCAGAGATCCTCTGCCTCCTTGGGGTCAGCAGTACAGGCAACACGGAGAATAGCACCAATGCATAGATCACTGGGTGTCACGTAATCTCCATCGCACCACAGTGAGAGTGGGTGGATCCTTTCATGTTCACAGTTTGAGAATCTGAGGCCCTGAGATTCTGAATGTCTGGCTGAGGTTCTCCAAAATGTTGGCCTTGAGGCTTAGAGGACACTTGACCTCCTGGGAAGCCCACCTGGGACTGAGCCACACCAAGGCTCCACACAGGAGGAAGAGCCATGAGGGGCCCGACCCCAGGGACGCTCTCACTTACACGGTTCACAGCCAGTGGGATGCAGACAGGGGAGGACACGTTCTAGTAACCAGAGACTCCTGGGTGTGAATCATTCTTGAGTTGTTAAAACAACAGAGAGGAGGGGATGGAAGAGTGTAGCCTTGAGACTAGCTTATCATGGACCACAGTTTGAACAGAGGAGCCAATAATTTTGGGGTTTAATTAATAGGAGCTTCCCATAAATTGTGGAAGGTCACAGCAGAAAGAAAAAAAAAGGCCTTTTTCTGCCCTTACACCCACCACAGTGCAAAGCCCTGGTCACAGATGGGATAACCACCATCCCAGGTTACACAGCATTTTTCTTAACCAGAGGTGTAAGTACCTCTGTAGAGCGGATAAGAGAAAACAAAAACTTGTGCTATAGCGCCATCTACTGGAAAAGAAAAGACAGTACCTACCTATGGACTACTGAATTGTTGACGGTAGAAAGTAAAGCAGTGCCTAAATGGGATGGTGAGACACAATCCATCAAACACCACGAACAGCCCAGGTGACATGGGAGCACAGAGAGAAAATGAAAAGTCTCCAGAAACCACACTCAAAGCCAGAGAAGACTGTGACATAACGGCAGGGAGTTTAAGATTGCAGTAATACTGTAAAGAAACCCAATGAGATACAAGAGAACTCAGAAAGGCAGTTCAGTGATCTCAGGAAGAAAATTAATTAACAAAAAGAGTTCTTTAACAAAAAGATTGAAATAATAAAAAAGAACCAAATGGAGATTCTGGAGCTGCAGAGCTCAGTAGGTGGTATGAGGAATGCATCAGAGAGCACTGGGAACTGAGCAGACCAGATGGAAGAAAGAACTAGCAAGTTCAAAGACAGCAAACCAGAAATGACACAGGAGTAAGAAGAGAAAGAGCTAAGAGTTATTAAACAACAACAACAACAAAAAGTGGGCCCCTGACCAGTATGGCTCAGTTGGTTGCAGCATCATCCTTTAGACTGGAAGATCACAGGCTTGATCCTCAGTCCAGGCGTGTGCAGGATGCAGCCGGTCACTATATCTCTCTCACATCAATGTTTCTCTCTCCACTCCCCTCTCTAAAATAAATGAATATATTTAGAGGAGCCGAGCGCGGCTGGTGGAAGCCGGTGGGGCAGAGCCGCGATGTTCCGTATCGAGGGCCTCGCGCCGAAGCTGGACCCCGAGGAGATGAAACGGAAGATGCGCGAGGATGTGATCTCCTCCATACGGAACTTCCTCATCTATGTAGCCCTGCTGCGAGTCACTCCTTTTATCTTAAAGAAGTTGGACAGCATATAAAGATTGGACAATACATGTGAATGCATGATATGAAGAACCTGGTTACAGTTTCTACTCTGCAAATGAATAGGCCCAGAAAGATGTAAGAGACTCTGCTTGAATGGACATAAAATTTCTACTTGTTAAGAACAAGTTTGGTTGTGGTAACTGACCTTCGTAGCTAAAACAGAAAACTACTTGGGAAACATGGAAACACGTTTCTTGTGCCTGTGATACTCAGCCTCCATGAATGTTGGTATAATTGTAAATAATGTCAAACTCCATTTTCTAGCAATTATTAATTATATAAGGGAATTATGTCTGCAGTGGCCCTGTCTTGTCAGTCATTTCTAGTGACCTTTTTACTCTGTCAGGAGTATACTGAAGAGCTCCTTATGACTAGTTATGTTTTATGGAAGCCAGCACACATCCACAACAACATTTAAGCACAGGACCGTTAGTCTATATTTTTAATAAATGTACCAATTAAGAAAAAAAAAATGAATATATTTAAAAGTTGTTTTGAAGTTTGTGTGAGGTGGGAAGGGGATGAAGAACTCCATGGGAACTGACTCCATTAGACAGAGCAACCTAAGGATACCTATTGATATCCTGGAAAGAGAAGAGAGGAAGAGGGAAACAGAGAGCTGACTCAAAGAAAGTATTGATAAGAATTTCCCAAGCCAGTTGAACAGCTGCACATTAGAACAGAGGAAGCTGAAGGTAGTGATGTAGCTAAACATGGTACTTGCTGTCTCCCACAGCCACGGCAAAATTACAACTAAAATACAGAACCCCATCATTCAGAACCACCTGAAATCTAGCTGAACGAAAGTCTTACAACTGGGAAATTAAAGAAGCACATTGAGACTGCTAAGAGGGGACATGGGGTAGAACTGTGGAACCACCCCTATGTGTGGCAGTTTAAAATTGGCAGGGATATCTTGGCTGTGGAGGTTTCCCTGAGGAGTGAGGGGTCCCAGCCCAGGATTCCAGTGCCAGGAAGAGAAGTCCCCACAAATTCTGGCTGTAAAAACCAACAGGACCTGGCCAATGTGGCTCAGAGGTTGAGCATTGACCCATGAACCAAAAGGTCACAATTTGATCCCCAGTTGGGGCACATGCCCAGGTTGCAGGCTCAATCCCCAGGAGGAGGCATGCAGGAAACAGCTGGTCAATAATTCTCTCTCATCATTGATGTTTTTATCTCCCCCGCCCTCCCCCTTCCTCTCTCTGGAATAAATAAAAACATATTTTAAAAAAACAAACAGTGGGGATTGTGGCTAAGTGAGATGGAAGCTGCTGGCCAAGTTAGTTCCTCTTAAAGGACCCATGCACAAACTTACTCAGACTCACTCTCTCTGAGATCCAGTGCTGGGGCAGCAGATTGAAAGGAACCTAGGACATTCAGGGAAGCACTAACTGAATTAGGGGGAGAGTGGGAGGGGCAGCTTTCTCCCAGATGAAGTGCTGGTAGAGCCCTCCCTACCACAGAGTCAGCAGGCAGGGCACACTATCTGAATCTCCATCAGCCTGGCTCACACTTTTCACTCCACCCTGGTGATCCCCTGAGACCTTGCCCACCCCCTACTTGTAGCTCATCCAAGCCATTTCCAGTGGCTTTTCCATAAAACAGGCTTCTATTGTCTCATGCTTCGGACTTTCCTAAAGTCTTTCAAAGCAGCAGCTGGCCTCAGCATGCCCAGTAACCCTCAGTAAGTGTGCCCAGACCTGGTACTAGCAGCAGCCTAACTTGGTTCACAGCCTGGCCTCTCCTGGGCACCTCCTAGCCCAACACAAGTAGCAGCCATCTGCAGATTGCTTTGTAGCTCATGCTGGGTGTCCCCAGGCAGGGCAGAGGTAGTGATTGATTTTGCACCTCTCGGGATGCTCAAGAGCCAGTACACCTGGGGTTCAGCTTCAGACCACGCCAGATTACAACCTTACCACCTCTATGAGTGATATTCTCAAGCAGCAGACTCAGTGAGCACCAAAGCCCCACTGAAGCAAGTCCTGCTCCACAGGGGCATCTCTTGCACAGCAGCTCTTCCACGGTAGTTGCAGCTTGTCTGCACAGCCAATTGGCCAGGGTTTCAATTCCTTCCAGTGACGCCAATAGCAAACAAGGCTCAACTACAACATGATAGTGTACACAGCCCACACAGGGGTGCACTTAGAGTGCCCAGCTCAGATGACTGGGAAGCTAAGCCACTAAGCCCTTCAAGACACCTACTACACAAGGCCATTCTACCAAGTTTGGGAAACATAGCAGATCTACCTAATACATAGAAACAAAAATAGAGAGAGTAGAAGGGAGGGGGAGAGACAGCCAAAATGCGGAAACAAAGAAACATGTCACAAATGAAAGAACAGAAGAAATCTCCAGAAAAACAAATAAATAAAATGGAAGCAAAAAACTACCAGAACATGAGGGAATGACTCAGCACAGGAAACTGGGGTGTCTGCCTTCTTAGTTCTAACCCCAGAACCCCTGATCCTGGTTTCTACTCACACAGCTCCAGTCCACTCTGCCCTCCCTCTGCTAGAGCGCAAGGTGAGTGGCTCCACAGGGAATTTTGTGCATTGGCCCTTTAAGAGCGTGCCTGCATTTCCAGCCATCTCTCCCTGGCAAAGAGCAACCCTGCTGCTTCTCCCAGCCAGATGTTATGTGGGTACCCTTCTCAGTTCTGGTGCTTTCTGCTGGTGGCCCAGCTTGGGATTAGTCCCCAAAGTTCTCAGTGGAAACCCCCACAGCTGAGAGGTCTCTCTGGAACTTCAGCTGCTGTCTGTGGGAGCTCAGCCAGCCCTTTAGCGCCTCCCATCAGTCTCTATGAGATCTCCATTTTCTGTCCTAAGTTATCAGGGTTCTCTCCAGTAGGTCTCTAGTTGAGTATTTCCCTTTGTCTTTAATTTTTGGCATTTTAATTATGATGTGTCTGGATACGGGCCTGTTTGGGTTCTTCTTGCTTGGGACTCTCCGTGCCTCCTGGACTTGTGTGACTTTTTCCTTCACCAGATTGGGGACGTTTTCTGCCATTATTTCTTCAAACATGTTCTCTATCCCTTGCTCACTTTCTTTCCCTTCTGACACACCTATTATGTGAATATTGTTATGTTTCATTTCTCATAGCGCCCTTAAACTGTCCTCCTGTTTTTTTTTATTGTTTTCTCTTTTTGGTTCTCTATTGAGTGATATTTTTTTTCTACCCTGTCTTCTAATTCACTAATCTGATCCTCAGCGTCCCCTAATCTTCTGTGTATTCTTTTCACTGTGTCCTTTATTAGTGCTATGTCATTCTTCATAGTTACCATGTCTTTTCCCATGCTGTTGAGCATCTTTGCCATCATTATTATGAACTCTATGTCTGATAAATGTCTTATCTCCATTTCATTTAGTTCTTCTTCTGAAGAATTCTCTTGTCTTTTCGTTGGGGTTTTTATTTATTTATTTTTTGTCTCCCCATTTTGCTGCTGGGTTGCAGACTCAATCCCCATTAGGTGGTGAGCAGGAGGCAGCCTATCCATGTTTCTCACTCTCTCTCATCAATGTTCCTCTCTTTCTCTCTCCCTCTCCCTTCCTCTTGCTCTAAAATCAATAAAAAGTATTTTTAAAAACCCAGAACTGGTTCTTATAAACATAAACAAAATTGACAAGTCTCTGGCTAGACCAGTGATGGTGAACCTATGACACATGTGTCAGAGGTGACACGTGAGCTCATTTTTTTGGTTGATTTTTCTTTGTTAAATGGCATTTAAATATATAAAATAAATATCAAAAATATAAGTCTTTGTTTTATTATGGTTGCAAATATCAAAAAATTTCTATATGTGACACAGCACCAGAGTTAAGTTAGGGTTTTTCAAAATGCTGACACGCCAAGCTCAAAAGGTTCGCCATCACTGGGCTAGACACACTAAGGAGAAAGAGAAGATAAATAAAATCAAATGAAAGGAGAGAAGTTAAAATAAACAACATAGGAATACAAAGGACTATACAAGAATACTATGAAAGGCTGTACACCACCAAATTTGATAACCTAGAAGAAATGAACAAATTCCTAAGCATACACAGCCTTTCTAGACTGAACCAGGAAGAAATGGAAACTCTAATAGGCCAGTCACGCTCAGCTGGCGAGGATCAGTGGTTGACTGTCAACCTATGAACCAGGCAGTAACGGGTTCGATTCCAGTCAGGGCACATGCCCAGGTATCAGTCTCCATCCTCAGTAGGGGGCGTGCAGGAGGCAGCCAATCAATGATTCTCTCTCTCTAGCTAGACAGGAGTTGCTAAGGAAACCCAACTGAGCTGGAGTTGGGGATGGGGTCCAGGGGTGGAGGACTAGACCTGCCTAGGTGAGAACAGTAACCTCACCTCAGACCTGAAGTGGCAGTCCTCAATCAGGTCCTCACGACTGTGGGAACTTGAGCTTTAAAATGTATCGATGTTGCTAAGGTAGAATTCTTTGAAAGAACCAATCATGCCTGACTGGTGTGCCTCAGTGGTTGAGCTTCAACCTATAGACAAGGAGGTCATGGTTCGATTCTTGGTCAGGACACATGCCCAGGTTGCAGGCTTGATCCCCAGTGTGGAGCGTGCAGGAGGCAGCCCATCAATGATTCTCTCTCATCTTTGATGTTTCTCTCTCTCCCTTTTCCTCTCTGAAACATATATATGTATATGTATATATATTTTAAAGAACCAATCAAAAGCCAACAATATATATTATCTACCCCTAGACAAAGAATCTTAACTGGCAACCTGCTTTGGGCCCCCTCCCTGCTGCTTCCTGCTACAGGGAGTACATATATCTCTCAATAAACTTTGCTTTCACTTACCATTTTTGTCTGTGAACTCGTTCTTCGATTTTGCAAGACAACAAATGTGGACCGACTAGAAATTTTGGCATCATCTTGGAGATCCCACTGAGATTTATGGAAAGGTATGAGATCTACAGAACAGTAAGCAAAATGGTCGGTCTCTCTCTCTCTCTCCTCTCTCTCTCTCTCTCTCTCTCTCTCTCTCTCTCTCTCTCTCTCTCTCTCTTTTTATTAGCAGCAGAAACACCAGGCTCCTGTCGGCCAGTTAAAGGCGATTAACGTGGCCACCAGTCTTAAAACTCAGGAGAAAGGCTTCTCGGGGGAAAGGCAGTCTAATCCCTCCTTTCTGAGGAGAATGTTGGGCTGGCTCTGACCTGATTTCCCTCTCTAACCTTTATTGTCCTGCCTGAAATTGGGTGGAAGGTGGATACCAGAATCCTTTGAATCCTGATTTTGGTCAGTTGACCTGATGGCTGCGGGAGTCCCTTCCCGTAGGCGCCCAGTTGAGCATGAGCGACGACTTCCACATGGCGGTGCCTCCTCGGCCCAGACCCCAAGGCTTAGACCTCGTTACCTCTCACTTTGGGAGTTACTGGGGAAGAATAGTGTCCAGATTTCATGCAGGTGGATAGGCAGACCCTCCCATCACTGCCCATGGTGTCCCATGAGTTTGTTATTTCCAT